ATTTTTGTTAGAATAATATATTAAGTAACTGTTTTGCTGTTTTCAGGACTTGGTAATTTCGAACCGAAAAATGCAGAGGAACGTTCCGGACCAGGCGAAAATGGCGAAGCACACCAACTCTCTGCTGACAAGAAGAATAAAGCAGACGAGTCAGAAATGGAATATGGCATGAATATCGCATGCTCCGATGAGATATCAATGCATCGTTCTGTGCGTGATACGCGTTTAGAGGAGTGTAAACGTTGGGACTATCCATATGATTTACCAAAAACTAGCGTCATTGTTGTTTTTCATAATGAAGGATTCTCAGTGCTTATGCGCACTGTTCATTCAGTGATTGACCGCTCACCGAAACATGTATTGCATGAAATTATTTTGGTTGATGATTATTCAGACAAGCAAGACTTACGTGAGAAATTAGAAAAGTATCTGGTTCAATTCGATGGATTAGTAAGACTGATCCGCAATGAAGAACGCGAAGGACTTATCCGTACACGCTCGAGGGGTGCACAAGAAGCCACAGGTAATGTAATGTTTAGTTGTTTTACATCGATTTTTTTATGACTATTTTATTTCTTTACCTACAGGCGAAGTAATTGTTTTTCTCGATGCTCATTGTGAAGTGAATACGAACTGGTTACCACCGCTCTTAGCACCCATATACCGGGATCGAACTGTCATGACTGTGCCTATTATTGATGGGATTGATCATAAAACCTTCGAGTATCGCCCTGTTTATGGTGGCGATTCGCATTTTCGCGGAATATTTGAATGGGGCATGTTGTACAAAGAAAACGAAGTGCCTAGACGGGAACAAAGACGCCGTGCTCACAATTCAGAGCCATATCGCAGTCCTACACATGCTGGTGGTCTATTTGCCATTAATCGCGAATACTTTTTGGAATTGGGTGCATACGATCCAGGTTTATTGGTATGGGGTGGCGAAAACTTTGAGTTGAGCTTCAAAATATGGCAGTGCGGTGGTAGCATTGAGTGGGTTCCGTGTTCGCGTGTAGGCCATGTTTATCGCGGCTTCATGCCTTACAACTTCGGCAAATTAGCGCAGGCAAAGAAGGGCCCGTTGATCACAATCAATTACAAACGTGTCATTGAGACATGGTTTGACGATACACACAAGGAATACTTCTATACAAGAGAACCGCTGGCCCGGTATCTCGATATGGGCGACATAAGCGAGCAATTGGCGCTGAAGAAGCGTTTAAATTGTAAATCCTTCCAGTGGTTTATGGACAATATTGCCTACGATGTGTATGACAAATTCCCAGCACTACCAGCTAATTTGCATTGGGGCGAATTGCGTTCAGTGGCAACCGATGGTTGCCTTGATTCGATGGGCCATCAACCACCAGCCATAATGGGTCTCACACACTGCCATGGCGCGGGTAATAATCAACTGATACGATTAAATGCCGCCGGACAATTGGGCGTTGGTGAGCGTTGTGTGGAAGCAGATCGTCAGGGCATAAAACTGGCTGTTTGTCGTTTGGGTACAGTAGATGGGCCCTGGAACTACGATGAAAATACGAAGCATCTGCTGCATCGCACTCACAAAAAATGTGTGGCTGTACATCCGACAACACAGCTGCTATTCTTGGCCCATTGTGATGTGAACGATGGCTATCAACAGTGGTGGTTCAAGGCAATCAAACCCAGATGGCAAACAAATTCAACGAATTAAAACACAGTACGGGTTTCACTGAAGGACATTCATATCCAGCGTTTATGATATCGGAGAATATAATTGTTAAATTTGAATAAAATTTTAATTGATAACAATTTTAGTGAAAAGTAAAAGACAATTGTTATTGCACTCGAGCGGCTTTTACAATGGCATTGAATATTTTATACATACATACATATGTACGGATTTAAGTTGTGTGTGTATAATATACACTGTATGAGCTCATAAGCTTCGATGGTTTATAGATAATGAGATTAAAATCTGCAAAATTTTAATTTTTTAGTATGTACGCCTAAACTGCAAATACAATCGCTTAGGTCATAAGAAGTAAATATATTTGGAGCTCTTATGGTTTCGAGCGGTCGTATTATTCAAACATGACCAATGAAGCAATAATTAGCAATTGTAAAGTGAGAATCAATCATAAGTACATCTAACTAAAAATTTAAGATATATGTATAAAATTAAGATATTCTGAATCGATTACCGTTCCAATCGTACAAACGCAAACGTTGTTTAAGTTTTTAAACAAAAGTTTAATAATGAGGTTTAAAAAAAAAAACCGAACTCACGCTGACTTTTTGGCGAAAAAGATCAAACCTTTCCTAACACTTTATATGTAGTAGGTATGTACTTTTTATAGATATATAATTAAATGCTTCAACATTGCCACTTATTCATAGAAAATTTTAAGAAACTATATCTTCCAATTATAGTTACATACTTATTTATATAAAGTTTATTTTTTTTAACTTCTACTATTTATTTTAAGTGTATTTAGTAATGGGGTCTGTGTCTTTCTATTTTGTGATAAGTAGATAACGTTCAGTTAACGAATCTAAAACTTTTTTCTTATACCTACTATACACATATGAGAATAACTATTTACCAGTTTTATTTATTACTTACTTTCGAAGGAATTGCAACAGTAGAATTAAGTCTGAGAATTATGCAATAAATGATTTTAACAGAATTCTCATATTTGTTGTTGGTGTTTCCGACAGGGTGGTTGTATGATGGCATTGTAGAACGATTTTTTGTCATAATTTGTTTTCTGCTGTTAGATGAGTTTGACGGCAACAGGCTGGATTAACACTGGCCGGCTTCCATACAGCCCACGCGCTTCGAACCGATTGCTGACCAGGGCTTGAATCGTAACATCCGTCCACGGATCGAAAACGATACGAAAAAATTACGTGATACATCAAGCAGTACAAGCTGAATGGGACAAAGAGTACGTTCACGTATGTACATATGTCATAATCCGAAAAATGTCTTTACGTGACGAGTAGTACGATATCGTATGTGACGATTCGAGCCCAGACTGATCGCTGCCAGCAAGCATGCATAATTTAATTTTCTTCAAGCAGTGTCATCTCGCGTGCCGGCATCATGTCGAGGTTCGGTACTACAACTTACTCCCAGAGTGAAAGAGATATATCGATGGCTGAGTGAAAGATCGACCTATCTCGGCAGCCAGTTAATTCATGGCAAAAATACTACTCTCGGAACTTTGTCATCGTCTTTTTGGAATGTTGCTCGTAGGGTGAACTTACATACATACATATGTGCATATTTATTCTAGACCCGACAGCCTGAGGCGAATAAACGAAGATGTTCTAAACGAATTCCCGGCATGCGCAGAGACGCCTCATGACTCACATCATCTCTTCGCATGCCCACTGAACCCCGCCCTACCGAAGCTCCTGTCCCTATGGACAAACCTCATCGAAGCCGCACGCTTCTTGGGGCTACCGCTAGTAGAGCTTGACGACAACGATTGAGGGACTAACCG